ACCATTGCCCCCTTCTAAATTAACGACTAATATTGTGCCCGCCGCAGACTGCCGTCTCGCAACCACCAATGTTATCGAGGAAAGTGTACTCATCACTCGCATAATAAAAGTGAGGTGTCAGCCCCTTTTCTCTGTGAGAAAGGGAGGGCACTGTTATTAGAGATAGTATTAGATAAACTACATCCACTATCATCCTCTTTGACACCAATAATCACCATCTAACCATTGCTCCATTTTGCAAACATCATCGTTGTCCGTGTAAAGCCCGATTTGACCATCCCTGTCACTATGTGACCAATGTTACTGTGTTTAAATTAAGAAAAAGTATTAAACTGGACAGCTGGATGAAATTAATGAGCTCGATAATTAAAATGTAACGCATTTTTATTTAGAATAAAAAAAAATATATTTATACAGAGTCATTTGCTAAATAGGAATCGAATAAAATAAGATAGAGTAGATTTTTAGATGAAGTATAGTGATTTAAATAATTATTTCATTTGATAGATATGGTATAAGTGACGGTTAGTAGTAGTAACAAGAGTAGTATTGTCTAAATAAATTAGGTAGGGGTTACATAAAATTATTTTACCTCTCCCCCTAATATAAATTATCTGGATTTAGCGATACTATTATCCAATCTCTCCAATACCCAGATTTTATTCAATTCTACTTTATTTGACCTATCAAACATGAATCCGAACAAAATAAAGGTGAATAAACTATTTTTATCCACCTTTATCTGACATAACAAACAAGTATTCTAAAATATCCCTATTATTAAATACTTGATAATTTTTTTTTTTAAGTTACCACCTTTAACCATTCAACAATCACCATCGAGCTTTGGTGACCACGGACATCCTTCCACCATCACCGTCGACTTCCATGCATTGCTGATCTTCGATTACTATGGTGACCCTCAATCCCTGACGTCGCACTTCCTGTTACTAATATCACCTACACTATCAGCCACCAGCAACGTGGTCGCGCACCGACCACCACTATCACAATTTGACTACCGTGCTGTTCTTACCTTATGTCTACTACCTTTCGACTAAGGCCGCATCGCTCTAGAAGAAAATAACAGACCAAGGAGTGGTCAGACAAAGCAAAGAAAATGAGAACCAAAACAAATAACACGGGGAAAACTAGAACACAGGGAAAGGAAATAGGAAACAAACAGCACCAATAGAGCCACAGAAACGAAGAAGCTAAGGAAGAAAGGGAAACCATAGGAGCACCAAGAAAAAATAAGACAAATTAAATTTCAGCCGTAGTGTTCTGATCTAGCAAAGGTCTACAGAAATTGAAAAAGTTCAATTGCATAACTTTTTGGCTCGCATTCATAAATTAGAAAATACAAGTTCGTGAATTTTTTATCTGTAAACGTCAAAAGGAAACGCATAAATCAAGGCATAGAGACATGTATATACGTATTGGAAGAGTTAAGATTGTGGCTGCAAATGAATCGAGCGCCGAGTAACATTCAGTTCAAGCTTATTCTTTTAATTCTTTATTGAACTTGACCGAGTTAAACCCGAGCTCAGTTTTAACCCAATTGAGCTTGAGCACCATCTAGGCCATGCTTGCTTTTTCTGTTCAAGTTTAAATTTATAAATATTTTAAATTAATAATTAATATGTGAATTAATTTTTAAATCTAAATAAATAAATTATGAGTCAAAAAAATTTTAAAATTGAACTTACGAACAGTTTGTTTATTTAATGATACCATTTAAACTGCTGAAAGATGATCTTAGCCAGGTGATGTTAGGGGTTAGATGTTAGAATAGTGGTCAGAAAGTCAATTGAATTTGCTCGATTTTATAAATTATTTTTGTATATACAATTTTATTTTATTCAATATATTTCATTTACATGTATTGATAATATTCATTTTATGTATGTTTATATTTGGTTGAAACTCTTAAGTCATATGTAACTATAAGACAAGGTCACGCATAGAAATGGTGATCGTGAAATTAGACTTTATGATTTTGATTTAAAATAGTTCTAAGTCATAAACTTGTCAAGATAGGGCATTGATTTGATTAGATTCACATTAGTGTTGCATGTTCATTAGGAAAATGCATTGTTTCATGAGCATTGATGTGTTGACATCAGTAAAGACTAATAGGTACTCATTAGAGAATAAGTTCACTAAACTTCCATGTTTAAAGAAATTTATTTGTTTGTGTCGGTATTAGATATTTTCTATATTTATACTAGTATAGTGATAATCTTTTGACTTGAGATCGTATGATAATTTTGTACATAGGTGCTTGTAGGTTTTGATATATTTTGTAATCACACGATGATTATGAAGGGATGTAATTTGGTGTGAGTTGTCTATGTATGGAGATTTGTGAAAATGGAAATAGAATTTGTTACCCATCCCATCAAAATGTGAATCTCCTATATTTTCCATAAGTAATCGGTTTGAAAATTCTTACATAACATAGATGACAAATAATTAGGAAATGAGTTTCTTAAAATGGTCGTTAAAGTAATTTATATTGAATAAGTATATAGTTATTGAGGCTGTAAGGATACTGACTTAATAATCGAGTCTCAGACTTTAATTGGGAGATTGATAATGAAAAGATCTTATTTACATAGTGATCATAAATAGTTTTAGTTCACTTATATTACCTTTACATATTTCTTAGAATTTATAGGCTTGTTAGTAGACATCGACTTAGAACTGTGGGTACTTTCAATTAATATAGATTAAATTAAAATTGGTTGATTAAAAAGTTAATTAATTGAATTAAAATTAGTGACTCATAAATTAAATCCCGTTTTTGGTGAGTCCACTACTAATTAATTGGTGAATCCAAAGGCACGTACACAATGCCAAATAAATCTATTGAAAACTCATAGTATTCATGCAATTTATGTGATGAGTTATTTTAAGTTAATTTAATTGGAAGAATAAAATTAATTGTTTTTAGTTTTATTTAGTTTATTTTTCCAATATGTTGGATTAAATAAATTTTCAAATTACTTTAAGGAAGAAGATTTGACTTTGGACTTTAGAAGCCCAAAATTTACATATCACATTTGGCCGAATTGAATTTGAAATTGGATGTAGTGGTCTGTTTTTGTTTAGTAGGTTGTTGGCCGGTTGTCGCCCAATATGAAAAGTTGGCTGAAATGTTCAGCCCAAGCATTGAGGTCATTTGATGGCCTAATTCTATATGTTGTTGTCGTGAAAAAGCAAGTAAAACATGTGATTTGGAGTTTTGATTTGTGTAACAGACATCCTTTATTGTTGAATCAATTGTATCCATTTTGATTAATTGCAACAGTTTCTTTAGGGGTTAGAATATGCAATAAGGCACGAGAATCTAAGTTTTGAAAGATTGATCGTCTTCTTTAGATTTCATGGGAAAAAAAAAAAACATATTTGAGTTTTAATTAGAGGGAGATCCTCAAGCTAGTGTAGTGAATCTCACCCATGATCTACTTAGAAGGTGTATAATTGGGTATCTAAGTTGTTGATTCTATTACTAATTATTTTTTGATCGAAGTTGTATTTTTGGAAACACTCAACATTTTTTTTAGTAGAAAACTTATAAATATACATTCTAGAACTAATAGTTCCATCAAATTTTGGCACTATGAAATCTTTTATAAATTGTTTGTGCGCATTTTATAATTAGTTTGTTATTAAATTTATTAGAAATTTTAAAAAAATCTACTACTATACACACTTGTATACATACGATAAATTAACAATAGATTCTAGAAGCAAAGGTGGGCTTCTTGCCCATCCTAGATTAATAATTAAATCCATAATTCTCTCTTAAAACGGGGGCATTCACGTCGAATGTCCACTATTTCCTTACATGATAAATGGGGTTCATTCAAACACCCACTTCCTTGGGTGCTTGCCTCAATTAATGCCCAATTTCTATGGCATATGGTTGGTGTGCGTTGTGACCGTGATTTCCAATGACACATCTACTCCCGTCTCTCTCTATCTCTTTGTGTAGATATAATAATTTTTACTTTTTATATCTGTTCCAAGGGAGGAACACGTGATATCATAAAAATTAATTTAGTCTATGTAAAAGAGAAATTCTTTATCAGCCCAATCGGGTCCACAATTGTCCATGGAATTGATGAAATATTACATGATGCCCTTGAGTTTCTTAGAATACCTAATTGGAATGTTCCCACTTGAAAAAAAGAGTTTACAATGTTGCTTACAAATCATTATATATATTTTGTAACTTATTAATCATAAAAGAATAATTTAATGGGTATCCAAATATTTCCACGTGCAGAGGCAGGGTAGTGGCCGTGGCAGTGGCAGTGCACCACATGGAAAGCACTCATTTAAGCACCGGAGCTTATACCCGCATAGACCTTCCAATTTGCAGGACACACGAGCTCTGAAAGCTTGAGGCCACACGCTGTGTACCCCACAAAAAAAATCAATCAGCAAGTCTTGACCAGCGCACTTCTTCTAATTATCAGTTAAGCCAGAAAGAAGGAAAGAAAGTGACTTTACTTCAAAATTCAATAATTTAATCTCCTTAATATGTGTCAATTAAATCAAGCATCCCATGCATGTAGCCGGCATGAGTGGTTCAGTTACTAAATTTGTTAATTAATTTTTTATTTCGATTCGACTTATCTATTAAAATCTCCGGTTCGGAATGTATCACTTCAATTCTCTCCAGGAAGCACCACCTTCACCCTCACTAACACCACCGCCGCCACCGCCACCACCACCGCGTTAGCCATATCTAAATTAATGGTGATTAGATGAGTAATACCGCACTTTCAGTGGATATTACGGACAAGAGTTAGAGGAGGTTCCAGTGCTTATACGGGCCTTCCCACTAATTAACAGTGTTTAAGTGCCTTCACCCATTATGCCAACCTTTGCCCTCTCTCTCTAGCTTGCTCTATAAAAGCTTTGCTCAGGCCAGAACCAGCTCGACACGAGCACTACTATCTACACAAGTACCAGAACTCCGAGTAGACATGAAGGATCTTTCCATTTTTCTCCTCCTCTTGTTTCTCTCTGTCCTGGGAGAGGTTAAAACTGGCCAAGCTCAAAATACCGACGTTTACATCGTGTACATGGGGGCCACCGCTTCAAAAAATACCACCTTGAGAGATGATCATGCTCAGCTTCTGACCTATTTGTCAAAAAGGTTAAAAGATATATATTATTGCCTTATTATTTATATATACATTATATGGCTTCTTATTTGTACTTGGGTATTCGGAGAAGAATTTTTGCTGAATGTCTGCTTGTTTCAGAAAACGAAACGCCTTGGTGCACATATACAGACATGGATTCTCGGGATTCGCGGCTCGCCTGAGCGAGGAAGAGGCGAGCTCAATCGCGATGAGGCCAGGGGTAGTCTCGGTGTTTCGCGATACGGTTCTGAAACTACACACGACCCGTTCATGGGATTTCCTCGAGAACCAGAACGATCTAACAATTGATCCGGGGCGCGGTTCCGATTCCGTGTCGTCGTCTTCTCAGGAATACGACACCATCATTGGCATCTTGGACACAGGTGACACCAACACACCCAAAAAGAGAAAAAAAGAATTGAAATGGAATCGTTCTGATACCAGCTTTTGTACTGGAAAATGAAAATTAGGTATTTGGCCGGAGTCGCAGAGTTTCTCCGATGAAGGTATGGGTCCGGTACCGTCGCGGTGGAAAGGAACGTGCAAGGCAGGCCCAGATTTCTCCTCTTCCCTCTGCAACAGGTGATGCTTCAAATCCTTTTTGCTAAGTTGTCCGGCGGGTCTCTTAAACAAGTTCAGTAGGGTCCTTAACTTTATCTGTTTACGCAATTTAGTCCCCGTATTTCTATTTAAGAAATTTAAATCCACAAATTTTATGCTAAACCCAGTAAGGACAAGCTATAGATTTAATAATTATCTTTACATGATTAGATGAAATAAATAATCATTAATAAAAAATTAGAATATCCATGGAACAATAGGGAGGTGAGAGGTGGTTAATCAGAAGGATAGAAGAGAAAGTCAGTTAAAAGAAACAACCGCGTTAGATTACTTTCTCCTGCGATTTGGTTAGACCTATATTTGCCCCTTATGCTTTCGGTGCATCTTTTTCCATGTTGAATTATGTTATAACATTCCATAGCATTTTTTTTTTTAATTTTAATCAAATTAAAAATTTCAAATAATTTTGAAATTCTAAAGTCCAAAAGATAGAAAACAACCTAAAAAAATCATATATGCCAAACAGACCCTTAAATCATTTTAGTTTGATTTTATTTATTTATTTTTTTAAATTTCCCAACAAAACCAAACTAAACTCTGCACATCTTCATTACGTATTGATCTAACATGTTATGTTAGATTTATGAAATATCAAAAAAGACACTTTCTTTTAATGAATGACAAATTGAGCTAAAGAATTTATTAATCAATGTTGGATTCCCTTTTTATCGTTTTCTTTTTTCTTTCTTTCTTTCATTTCGTTTTTTGGATTCAACTCTGTATCAGGAAACTGATCGGAGCGAGGTCCTACATCAACCCCGACACGGGAGACACGGAAGGCACGCCAAGGGACGTGGTTGGTCACGGCACTCACGTCGCGTCGACGGCGGCCGGAGCGTCGGTCGCCGGAGCATCATACTACGGCCTCGCCTCCGGCACAGCCAAAGGCGGGGCACCCCCCGCAAGAATTGCCGTCTATCGTGTGTGTTCGTCAGAAGGATGCATGGGCTCTGCCATACTAGCCGCATTCGACGACGCTATCGCCGATGGCGTTGACGTGCTGTCGTTGTCGATCGGCGCGTCTTCACAGTCAGCGCTGGATTTATCGTCGGACCCGATCACGATCGGAGCGTTTCACGCTGTCGAGAAGGGGATCACGGTGGTCTGCTCCGCCGGGAATGAAGGACCTCAGACAAAAACCGTTGTGAACACTGCTCCATGGATTTTGACAGTGGGCGCCACGACGATAGACCGAGATTTTGAGTCAAATGTTCAGCTGGGTAACAATAAAGTGATCAAGGTACTTATGAGTTTCTTTTCTGAAAAAACAAAATTGTCTGGGAGAATTAAGTTACTAACTTTTCACAATGCTGAGGTACTCAGCCGCGGGCTTTTACGATTTAGCTTTTTCACAAAAATCAACTTTTGAAGGACTTTTCACTTACGATAATTTTGGTTGAAAAAGTTGAATGCTAAAGTAACTTTTCTCTACTTACAACTTCCGAGTGGGCATATGTTAGGGTAGAGCCATACACTTTGGAGACCTAAAGAACAGTCCCGTCTATCCCTTGATCCACGGGATGGATGCCAAAGCAGAGAACGATGTTCCGGACCAAGATGCAAGGTATGCTTAAACAAACAAATTATGCATTTCAAGGCTGTTTGCTTGGGCCCTCGTCCTGTTCTTTCTAGGTTTTTCTGTCATTTTTTAGCTGAACCGTACTATTTTATTCAAGAACATTAAAGGCCAAGCTCAAAAAAAAAAAGTTTAGAAATGAAATTATTTTAACGAAAATTTATTAAATATTGGATAAGAGAAATTTAAAAAATTTTAACAATTATAAACTTTGAAATTTTTTTCTTATTCAGAAAAATTTCAAAATTAAATCTTGAAAACTCAATCATGGAATTTTAAGATCCATTTTTTTATACTTTTTATCAAATTTAATTGAAAATATTTTAATCAAGAGTGTACAAACTATAATTTTAAATTGGTTAATTGAAACCAAGTCAAACTATATTTAAAATTTTAGTTCAGTTTAATTTAGTTTGATTTGGTTTTATTTTAAATTTAATTTATTATTTAATAATTATTTAAATAAATCATTCTTTTAATTTTTATTATCATATATATATATATATATATACAAGTACGTGCACACACACATGTGCGTGCGGGTGTGACACATGTATGTATATATATCTACATCTAGATGTGTATATACATACGTACATATATATACATATATACATGTACATATTTTACATATATGAAGATGTGGATATAAATATTTACATCTAAATACATTAAAAAATGAAAAAAAGTCGGCTTTGGACCAAGTAAATTTATATTATTGGCATCCGGCGTTGTTAGGCATTTCTATTGGTTTGGTTGAGGTACATGGACGATAATAGCATGTTTATATTCTCTTTTTCTTAAAAGATAGTTACAGTTCCTTCACGTAAAATCGTAATTAATTTACATATAAGTTTGTGTTTGTGTGTGAATATATATGTTCATATAAATAACTATATACTCGTGTGTGTATTATTGAGAAAAAATATTTTTTAAATTTTGGTTTACAGTTTAGGATATTTTGATTTAGCTTTTAGAACAAACTAAATCATAATTTTAAATTAAATCAAAAATTAAAATTAGTTTGATTTAATTTGATTTGATTAATTGATTTGATTTTACATGTTCGTAGTTTCATCAAGTTTAAAAGCTTTTATTAATTTTTATTTTTTTAAGCTAACAAGTTTTGCATAGTGTTATTTTAATAAAAATAATAGATTTTTTAAAAGAAATAATCAAAAATATTTTTTTCAAAACAAAAATAACCAAAACATGTGTTCTCTTAAAACCAAACAAAGCCTACTAACCAACTTATGCGGCGAGGTTTATATTTTTACGACATAATAAAAAAGTTTAAAATTCAAAAAGATTGCAAATTAAATCTCCCTAAATGAAATTGTAAACTAAATTAAAAAAAAACACAATTTCTTTTATTTTAATATATGAAACTTTCTCTTAAAAAATCTTATATTAAATTATTGACATTCCATTAATATATCAAACGTTTCTAAGATTTGAAAAAATTTCAAGCCTAAACCCCAAAATCTTGAAAAACACCTCCTTAGGCATAGAAGTTCATTTTCAGACCCAATTGTAATATTTTTATTATTTTCTGGTAAATAAAACACACACATAAAAATAACAATTGTTAAAATAAAAGATTCAGAAAATCACCAAGTCAAAAGGCCTGGTAAATTTAAGAATATTTGGGGTCAAATTGAAAATATTTTTATTCATAGTTTTTATCAAGAAAATTTAATTAAAAATATTAATATTTTCAAAACGAGCCGATCTTGCCTATATATATATATATATATTATAACAAAACATTTTTACAAAATCGTCAATACATTTATGCAAAATCATCACCTTTATCAGAGTTTTTTTTTTATGATATTTGTAATTTTACAAAAATATTTTCGTCATATTGTAAAAATATTTTTATAACTTTACATAAAATTATTCATCACTTCATAAAGACTTATTAGTATCAAAAATATAAATTTTTAATTGAACAATTTTTTAATAAAATTGGTGAATAAAAATATTTTATAATCTAATCTCGAATTTAGTTACAATTACGAAGCTGTCCGGCTTCCGACAGCTAATTTTCCCTGAAAAATTTCTAATCTAACCCCCAAAAAAAAAAAAAAAAAAGGCGATGCCACTCAAGTTGATGCTTTTTATCAGAAACTGTAACCCGGTTACACTAAACGGGGCAAAAGTGAAGGGGAAGATAGTGGTGTGCGAAATCGACGATGATTATTACACTGACGATGACAAAGTCGAGGAAGTTATGGGTCAAGGTGGGATCGGCGCTATCCTCCTTCACAATCATGCAACTGCCGTAGCCTCTACTTACAGATCTTTTCCCGTTTCTATTATCCCTTCCAATGCCTCTGACCTACTCGCATATTTGAACTCCACCAGGTAAAATACACAATCAACAACCAGTTTAGTTGGCTTGAATTTCAAAGTTTTTGTTTTGGAAATTTTTTTTGATTTTTTGTAATGTTTAATTTTTCTCTTTCAAATTTTTAACTTGATCCACGTTAATTCAAGTAATAATAATCGATCAACACATAGTTTTCTATGTTCTTATATTAAAAGCTGCCGGCTTATAAACTACATGTTATTTTCTAAAAGCAACCCGGTCGGAACAATTCTTCCAACTGTGTCCGTGATTAAGCAAAAGCCGGCTCCTGTTGTAGCCTATTTTTCATCTAGAGGCCCTTCTTCATCCGGTTCTACTCGTATTCTCAAGGTAATCTACCTGTTACCTGTTATCTTCTATGTGTGTGTGTGTGTGTGTGTGTTTCTATATATGTAAAGTCATATTCTAACTTAAAAGGGTTAATCTCAAATTCCAACCAATTCATAATTCATATTTTGAACATGGGGTTTTTCTGAACTGGGTTTTTCTTGTAGCCTGATGTGGTGGCACCAGGGGCAAACATTCTTGCAGCATGGCCTGGAAATGACACGTCGGAGGCGCTCGAGGGCAAGGACCCCCCTCTGTTTTATGTGCTTTCGGGGACTTCTATGTCGTGCCCACACGTCTCCGGGATTGCAGCCACTGTGAAATCTCAGTTCCCGGCATGGACTCCTTCCGCCATCAAGTCAGCCATAATGACAACCGGTGGGTTCCAATTTTGGATACATTTCAGTAGGATTTGTGAGAAAATTAAAATCTAGCCGCTCTAATCGAATCAAACTAATTTTTGAAAAAAGAGAAGACAGCCGAATATAACCAATCTTTTCCGTTCAATTTCATTGTTCGACCCCATTTTCTATTCTTTCACAAACTTGTAAAGCGCAAGCTGATAATTCAACGTTTGATCAAGTTCCGATCATTACTGACCGGTGACTCAACGTGTGGGTTCATTTACAGCTTCGCAAACGAACAACCTGAAGGCCCCGATAACAAATGATGAATCTGGATTGGTTGCCACACCTTTCGATTATGGTGCAGGGCTAGTCACCACAGCAGGACCATTACAACCCGGGTTAATCTACGAGACCAGCACAATTGACTTCCTGTTGTTTCTCTGCGACTTTGGGTATAACACATCCGAGATAAAGCTCATCTCAGCAGAAATTCCTGATGGATTTTCTTGTCCGCCTAACCCAAGCGCAGATTTGATCTCCAACATGAATTACCCGTCAATATCCATATATAATTTTGATGGAAAAGCGAGCAAAAATGTCACCAGAACTGTCACAAACGTTGGCAGTGATGATGAAACAATCTACACAGCAACCATGGAGATCCCTGCTGGGTTGGAAGTCAAGGTGGTACCTGAAAAGCTGCAGTTCACGAAGAACACTAAGAAACTAAGCTACCAAGTGATTTTCACACCAGCTGCATCTTCATCAAATGCAGACTATTTGTTCGGGTCACTTACTTGGACCAATGGGAAGTACAAAGTCCGGACCCCTTTTGTCGTCAGTGCCAAAAATTAAGAATCTTCGGCATCCTGAGCGGCAACAAGAGGCAAAAGAAAGGACAGGGAAAAAAAAAACATAATAAGCTATCAGAATTCTTCCATTCCTAAATTTTTGAGCAAGTCATTTTCCAACTATAAAAAATAGGAGTACTTCCAAGTTTCATGGATCCGTAAGACTTCATTTATCCTAATCAACGTAATGTAAAATTGCTGTTAACATTTGACTACTAAAACATGTAATATGCAGTAATATATATCAAAGTATTATGTTTATATTAATATGTATTTTTGGATAATATTAATATAATATACTTAAAAATGATATGCATTAAAATATTTGTTTTAACGTGTTCTTGAATTAAACAGTCAGGGGAAGCGTCTGGCTTCCTCTCTCACTTCCCTCCCACTCGGATCTCGCCCTCATCGCCTTTGCCCTAGCGGCTCCCTGCCTATTTGTCTATGTCATAAGTTTTGGGTGGCCCGTTTGGATGGTTTTATTTTTTTAAATATTTTTTTGGGTTAAAGAAGTACTTCTGGTCCAATATAAACTGTTTGTGTAAATTTCTGAAAAAAGAAAGAATAGAAAAAAATCAATTTTTTGCTCTTTTTAGAAGCTATTTGAAACAGCTTCTATAGGAGAAAAAAAGAGAAATTTAATTTTGGACAAAAATATCTTTCACATAACTTTAAAATTACAAATTTACCCTCACCATCTCTTCTTTCCAACACGCCGCCATTGTCCCGCCACAGTTTTCCATTAGTGGGTCGTCGTCAATTTCCTTTGGTTTCCGACCAACAAAGACCATGGTTGATTTCCTTCTTCCCACTTCCCTCTGGATCGTTCACTAGCTCCAGAAGTCCATCCAGTTCCCTCTTCCTTCTTTCCTTTGGTCACCCCTCTTTCCAGATTGATTTGCAAATAACACAATAACTGATTTGGTGCGGCACGATAAGAGTTGCAAATAATAGTGAGTAAGCGATATGGGACGGAGAGGAAACAAGGGAGATTTGAGAAAAGGTGAAGTGAGAGGGGAGTCGTAGAGGAAACAATGGTGCCATTGGCCTCACCTTGGCTCTTTGTGTCATAGCAGGGGACACCTGTGTCTCCCTCCTCGCTCGCACTGCGAGAAGGTTGAGGAGGCGAAGAAATAAAGGAGAAGAAGCTCACCACTGGCCTTGACATCGAAGTCATCGCCTTCCGGGGGGGGGGGGGGGGAGGTCCAGAGCAAAAAGGAGTTTTATAGAGAGAAATAGAGGGGCAAATGATGTAAGAAGAGATAGAAAAGAGAGAAATTTGGCCAGCTAGTAGGACTCGCCACCACCAGACAAATCTCATGGTAGGGTTTGTTAGTTTAGTCATAGTCGGAGGACAGGGTACAAGGCAAATGGGGCAGCGGAAGGAAAAAAAAAATACAAAGTAAATGGGCAGATAAGGTAAAAAAACCACTTTTTGCATTTTTATCCAAACACTTCAAAAACACATAATTGCTTCTATTTTATAAAATCACTTTTAAAAAGTTCACTTCTTAGGACTTGTAACAAAAGGCTATCCAAATGAGCTTCCCACTGTTATAAGTATCATCCTCACCGCCCGCTGCTGCGCTTTCTAACTTTGCTTCTGCCTACAAAGCTTCTCCCCAGCGGCTCTCTGCAGGCACTGTCGTTGTTGCCGTTGCTTTGGATCGCGGCTGCAAGATTGCAAGAATTTGCCGAAAGGAGCTTGTAAGCTGCAACGTTTACATCTCTTAATTGACTTGCAATTGGAATTTTCAAGTTTGTATTATTTTGTATATTCTCTTGCAGGTTTTGCTTATCCCTATTTACATAGTTAATAGGTTAATGGGTGTGAATCATCTACTTTGCAACTGTTGTTTGTTTGGTAAAAAATTACGGAAAGAAATGACTTGTTTACTGCCGGTAAATATTATTGATTCCTTCGTTACAAATAATAATAATAATAATAATAATAATAATAATAATAATAAGTGTAAAAGTAAAAATTCATTTTAAAATGAAAAAAGTTCAAAAAGATACACACACTTCTTTGGCTTTTTTGCAGTGAAAAAGGCCTTATCGGAGTTTCGATGGAAATTAATAGAAATTCAAAGCTCTGCCATTGGCCGCATCCGCTGGTGGCTACGGAAACCTGCTCATCCCCATAGATTCCGATCCATGCCGACCACGCATCCCCATTTTCCGGGCTCTCTCTCTCTCTCGCGCGTTAATTTTTCGTCATGGATAGGGGCATTTCTGGAAAATAAACATCTCTTAGTGTTAGACGCGTTTCCTTAACTCCCAACGGCGGTCAGTCCCACGCAAGAAACCTCTCTCTCTCCCCTGCAGCGACTTGCGAATGACAGGGCGAGCTTACCTGATCGTGACAAGATTTCTTCTCGGAAGCCTGCACGGAGCCTCCGGAATAGCGGCGAGCTCTCCGGCAACTCCTCGAAGCTCTCCGGCATCAGAATCCCGGGCTTTGCTTCCACTCAGCTAAGAGCGTGGTCCATCTTGGATTGTCCTTACTCGCCGCTTAATTTCAATCCTATGGATTTGGTCCGGCTCGACACCGCCAAAGTAAGCAATCTTCCTCTTTCTCACATTTCTTCCGACGCAGCCATTTGTCACCAATTTTTAGTCAACGCATTATGTTTTTTCCTTTTTTTTTTTTAAGTTATCTTTATTTTCTTTCTCTGGTTTTTTTCACCTTTTTTCTTCATTCTGCCGAATCTTGGATTTTTCTGTCCAACGCCTTTGCTGCGAGGATTACGATTTTGGAATTGTATGTGTGCGTCAATATATTTATTCGTTAGTCATGCTTTTGTTTCTAATATTTCAAGTATTATTGAAGACTGTTTCATTCTTGGAGACTTGCCTCTGTAGTGAACTGCAAAGAAACTAAACATTCTTTCTAAAATTTGAAAATCTGAAAATCAAAATTATTTTCAAAAGAATAAAATTAGAAAATAAAAACAGAAAATATTTTCGCAAACCAAACGCCACCTGATATTACATATTCCTGCAGTTGTTGCAAGTAACCCTTTGTATCTCTATGTGATCATTAACATTGCACATTTTTCGGTCGTTCTTAATAGATCTATGCAAAATGTTGTTCAAGGCTTCAAGCTTTTAAACTGGCAATTATTGCTCACTTAGGCCCCTTCCTCTTTGCTTTCGATTTGCTGCAGAATGGAAGAATTTGTTAAACTTTTCTGGTTACAAGATATATAAGAACAGGAAGAAACAAAATAAATGATGTAGCGTCTCCTATATACTAATGTCTGATGAACTCGTAGATCTGATCACCTGTCCATTACAAACAGTAATGAAAAAAAAAGTTCTAATTCTGCAATTTCTGTTGTGACTGAATTGTGGATGGCTGCTGTTCTTAGTATCTGAACCGAGTTACTCTTTCTGGGAGGATTCACGTCCTAGTTTATGTTCCAAATAGAGCATGTATTTGATCCGTCAATGTCAGCTGCTTTCTTGGTATGCTATTGTCGTTTTATTATGATTGCTTAACATAACAAATTCTGTAAGGAACAACTGCCAAATTGTTTGAGTAGTGTGCTTGTCTGTTAGTTAACATAAAATTGCTGCTCGTGCAGTCACGTTCACATTGATTTAGCAATTTTGAAGAATATTTGGGATTTCTTCTTTGCAGTTGCAGTTAATTCTTCTTTATTAGACGAATATATGGCTCCTAATTTCTTTCTTCATCTGGAGCATCAGACCTATTTTAACAACACGTGTGAAACTTCTTCCCGGACATTGTTTGGTAGTTTCTTTTGTAAATTCTTTTCTCTTTCTTTGCAACAAGTTGACAACAAAATTTTTCATCAAGATTAAGGTATTTTTCAAATATTTGTATGATTTCCTCTGCTTACATTTTCTTCTTCTTCTTCTTCTTTTTTTAATTTGGATGCTGAACCTTGTTTTCCTTGTGATCCTTAATTTTTATTTTCAGCAGGACAGTCTGATAGCTTTCCATACTCGGCAAAATTATAGTATGATTTGGATATTTGATATCAGTAAAAGGTGCTTTACATCAAGTTATAGGGCTTAATGTGTTATATTGTCTTTCACATGCTCTTTGATATACAAACTTTAAATCACTTATAAGTGCACAAATCAATCTATAAATAATCCATAGATAATGACAAATACCGCTTCCAGGTGTTAAGCATCTCAAAGAGATTAGGCATTGTTATTTTTAAAACAATTTTCTTGACACAAAAGAATTAAATTAGTTTGCATGAAAAGTAAAATTTAGAAATTGTTATGATTGGATAAATAAAAATAAATAAAATATGTAATAAATAAATAATAAAAATACTGGGGATTTAAAAGCTTTGGGGGACAAAACCAATTAAGTACTTTTTCTAAATTAGTTGAAATTATTGAATGATTACTTTTTTCATGAAATTAGTTAAATCAAGTCTTAATCCTAGTGGTTTTTATAAATTAAGAACTAAAAATAATTAACTTCTTAGTCAATTAGAGAATAATCCTAGTTGGTGCCTAAAAATCATTTATAATTGCTTACCTTAATATTTGTTAACCAGCACAGTTAGCCCCAAAAGCTAGTAACAAAATATATTAGAGTAAATTCGAGGTATCCGGATGCTCATTCAATAAATAATTTCAAAACAATTCAATCTACCTATTCAATTACAATAAATAATTCAAACTAAAAATTGAAACAGAGGAAGAGTTAAGAAATCTTATCAATTAAGTCCTCTTCAAGCCGTACAGATCCCCTCCAAGCAATTGTCGACAGTCACTAGGCTACTTGTTAGATCGCCATGTCACCTCCCTTGACCCGTTCAGCGATGGCAAGAAACTTTTCCTGACTCTTTTGCTTTGGTCTGGCATAACAAGTTGTATTCAATCTAGTCCCTACCTATCTGTCAATTCATCTCTATTTAAACTTATAAAACACTAGCTAAACTAACTAATAGGAAAAAAATAGAATAAGAGAAGAAAAGAGGCTTGGAGCTGGCAGCCTTCAATGTGAGA